TCTGACATTTGAAAAAATAACATTTTACCAATGGCAGCAGCCTACTATGAGTACTTAAAATATATAAGTTTTGATTTCACCAGTTGCTAATTGCATTTTAAATACTTAAATATTGAACTTTATTATAAAATTTGCTACATCTTTTTCCAATAGTATAATTAAAAAAATGGGCCAGCTTGGAGTAAGAGTGCAGAGTGTATATCATGCGTTGTACCGTCCTTTCGTATAACAGTGGCAGCAACTTCAACCCGGTTTTTGTTGCCGATCATGTGTTATTATAGAATATTGGTACCAATTTTGATTCAAAATTCTATAGCCAATGTTTTTGAACCATATGACTTTTAATTTGGTCTTCGGTCACTATAAGAAAGTTTTTTTAGCGGTCTTTGAAGAAGGAAAATATCTTTCAATATCCGTAAATATTTCTGCAGAGTAAACTGGCACGGGTTTTCATCATCACTTCATCTTCTGAACGAGGTTGGAGGCTGATGTTTTTACTGAAATAGCATCGAACGATGATAGGAAAACGATGTTTTTACTGAAGTCGCATCTGCAACAAGTACCGTGGCTTCTCGCCGCTCCCGCCACCAGATCCCTTACGAGATAAATACGACAGAGCACACCTTTGTCATCTCTCAGTTCACCTACAAGAATTAAAAAATTCTTGAAAACCTGCACGACGTCTAACTCTTTAACTGCTGTTTTTTCTAATATTTTTGTATAATGCGTTGTGTTGGTAAATTCTTCTGGTCTATCATTGGAGTTCTACCTAAATATATCACATTTCCCAAAAGAGCAGAATATTTATCAGATTTACTGATTACAAAATATCTGGACATGGCTAAGTATGTAAGTAAACGCCACCCATTCTTTGTGAATGCACTATCTATTTATATTACTTTTATTTATTTTAGTAAGTCTATAACAATTTTAGAATAAGAAACTAGATTAATTTTCAAGATAAGAGAAAAATATTTTTCCTGTCACGTGTTTAAAATTCTTAAAAAATTTATTAATGAAGGTATAAACACCACATAGAAAAATATGTTAAACATCTCCAATTACTATATGTATAGTACGCTGAAAAATGTAGATAATCTATAAGTGTTTTAAGATATGAAGTCCAGGTGTACATGCGTTTCGATATAAGTAGATATACAGGGTGTCCCAGGCTGAGCGTGCATTAGAAGTTTCTAGAGAACTACATTATCTAGATCGGAGATTTTTTGCATATCATTGTTTTACAATGAGGTCTATCAATTAAAAATATTTTCAATATGGCGGCACTTCTGGAAATACCGGAAGTTGACAGCAACTTTCTTATTTTAAATGGGTACTCCCATTTTTTATTACATATTTAAATTCTTTCTCAAATTTTATGAATTTTGATATTAAACACTCTATACCTAACATTAACCGTTTTTGAGAAAAAAAATATTTAAAATTTTTCAACGAAAAAAACTGCCTGTCAAAAATATGTGTATAGTCTAAACGACAAATTTATTGATTACCACAATCACTGTGACATAAAAAGATGACATGTGGCTATCTATTTCAAAAATGAAATTGTTCGAATGTGATATAATAATGACCGCAGCTGTCATGGAATTGAGCGATTAAAAAATTATCATAAATCATTTTTTTCAAATGGAAACCGACTTTTTTTATTTCACTAGTGAAAAGGCTTTTCAATTTGTTACTTTTTGACTATACATGTTCCTATACCTAAAATAAATTGTTTTTAAGTTATTTAAGATTTAGTTTTAAAGCGTATATTTTTCTTGATTTTAACCAGTAGCCTATGACTTTAAACGTCAAGTGAACAATAAATTTGGCCATGTCATATTGTGACACTTTGTTCAAAAAGCAGTATGTTATCTTTTTGGGCAATTTTTCAAATGGTAAAAAATTCAAAAAGACCCCGTATCTCAGTTGGCAGTGAAAATATCAACAGGCGGTTTACGCCATTAAAAGTTTCTCAGAAATCGAGCCCATGACATCTATGTCGGTTTTGCTCTATCTAGTCAGGAAATAGGTTTTCTCTGTTAAAACAGACCAATTCCGACCACCCTGTACCTTATAGGTGCCAAAGATTGTTTTAAACTTTATTAAAAAAAAGTAAATCTAAATATAAACAAAGTCGAATTAGTTACACTATTTATAACTGTAGAACGGCGGGATCAAATGATCCCTGATTTGTGGTAATTATTTTTTAAATAAATTAGTTTTGGTTAGGTGGAATTTTTACCATTAACAGCATATTATGTCACGCACGCCTATATGTAATGATTGTGAGTGACATTTTAGGTACCTTTACACTTACACTCTTTCGCGTGGGTTCTGAACGGCATTCCAATCGTGTGGTCAAGAATGCGCTCCAAGAACGTAGCGTTCCAAGAGTGTGTTGCTAGAAAAAAGCGTAAATATGTAACGTAAAAGGAAAAAAATGTCAATGTAAAGTGAAAACCGTTGCTTATCGCGCCGATTTGACCGGACTCTAGGAGTTTTAGAAATTCTAAAAGGATTGAGATAAAAAATGTACAAAATAAGGCGGCACAAATTAAAAGTGGCTCTTTGTATTATTTTGTATTTTTTTATTATTTGCATAGTCTTTGGACCTCACCTTCCATAGACACGGATATGATTTATAAATTTCAATAAAATGCCTTATAAAGTCTTTCGACCAGTACCTACTATCTCCCATGGCACACAAAATAAGTAATTGATTGATATCTGTAAAAATAAATTATTAAATAATTATATAAAATTTTACAATAATAAACTTTACTTACTACCTATTATAATTATTTTATTTTGTTATCCCGCGCGCTAAATCGCACACGCCACTCAAATTATGCACAAGAAGAATTTAACGTTCTTTTCCCGCAATCAAGTCTTCAGTCAAGTACGAACTGTTTTCGCACATGCCTGATTTACATCTACATTACCGTTCTCGCGCGCACGATTGGAACGCCACGTTCAGAACACATGCGAAAGAGTGTAAGTGTAAAGGTACCTAAAGAATAGAAATTCAACAAAAAATAGTGGGAAAATAGCATATTCAAATCTGGAAAGAGATTAAAATATGTATAGGGTTACCCTTTGGGGTTACCAGATGAAAACTTGTCCAACCCGGGCAAGCCTTTCCAAACATCCGGACAAAATCCGGACGTCATAATTTTTACCAATATAATATAAAAAAAAAAAAAATATATATATATATATATATATATAGCTATATATATATATATATATATATATATATATATATATGTTATTATATATATATATATATATATATATATATATATATATATAAACAAAAGGAAGTTATCGTGGAAACTATAAAAAAAAACGAAGAAAGAAATTTTTTATTGGGCAAGTCCACAGAAAGATTGGTCATGATACATGACTAAAACATGACTACCCGTAGACACTCAGTGTTTCTGCCTTCCGGCTTCATCAATACGGGAGGAATCAGCAACGATGAACTAGCGATCCTGAAAAAAGAAAAAGAAAAGAAGAAGCAAACGAGGCACAAAGGCGCCATTTGCAGCTGGTCCGGCAGTAGCTTACAATTTGAAGCGTTACTACCGAAACCGCCGCGGAGGCGTTCCAACACACCTCGCCGCTATCACCCTGGCCCAGAGAAAACAATAAACAAAGGAAGTTATCGTGGAAACTATAAAAAAACGAAGAAAGAAATTTATTGGGCAAGTCCACAGAAAGATTAGTCATGATACAATACAATGTATCATGACTAATATATATATGTATGTATAATATATACTATTTTTGCTTTTATATTATATATATATATATATATATATATATATATGCATATATATATATATATATATATATATATATATATATATATATATATATATATATATATATATATATATATATATATAATATAAAAGCAAAAATAGTATATTGTTTTATAAATAAAAAGGATACTTTTTGTGGCGAGGCTGTGGAGTGGACGTTTTACATATAGGCGAGGCACATTTTTACTCCGAATAGAACATGCTATTTTCTTCAAACGCCACAAATAATTTCTTAATTTTTTTAAAAGTTTCAAATAATATAAAAAGATTTAAAAGTAATACCTTGCAATTATACGTATATCGAGAAACTATGTACTTTTGTGCATAGACGTAAAAGTGTTTTACTTTTATGCCTAGGCGTTATAATTCCTTTTTTATGTTGTCAATCACATCGCAAAAATTAATAATTTTATGACGTTTGAAAAAAAATACATTTACAAATTTCAAAACTTAAAACTTACGAAGTAAAACAATTAATTTACAATGCTGAATTTATCGACGATTTTTTAAGTAACTAAATTTATTAAAAATAATATATTATATTGCATTATCGGGTCATTTCTTAATGGAACATTAAAATCCGAACACTTATGAAAAATTCGCCCGGACTCAACCGGACGTAGTAAAAATCTGGACATGTCCGGAGAAATCCGTACGTCTGGTACACTAAATATGCAGAAGATAAAATATTGAATCGAAAAAAAAGCATGTTAACAAAAAACTAGAATTGAGAATGGACAACAACTGACAAATCGATGAGTCTTAATCATTCCAGATTACTCGGTCAATCGGTCATCTGTTCCACAAGATTGACAAGAAAAAACTCTCACTTCATTTCATTGCTGGTAACTCCAAACCAAACTTCCAAAATGTATATCTGCAAAAACCCTTCGTTTTTTATTTTAAAAACTAAAGAATTACTAGCTTTCCTTGAATATTTATCATAGCTTCCCTCCGTTATTTGTTTAATAAATAATTATTAGTATAACAACATTAAAATATAGCATTCCTTAATTTGATAAGTCGTGATATCTTTTCAGACAAAACATAAACCTGATGGAATGTGTTTATCTATGTGCATGATCGACGTATAATTTTTTCGCCCTTCCTTTTTAAAACATATCCACTGATACGACGAGATATATATAAAGGGTAAGAATTTCTAATGGCTGTCAGTTGCAATCATGAAGATCGCAGTAATAGTATTGGCTTGTTCAATAGCAGCATGCTTGGGTAAGTTATCTATTGTCTGTCATTACTAATTTATGTATTTATTGACAATTTACCTACAACTGAATTTAGTTTAGAAGATACAATATAAATTAATATGTTTTTTCGGAAGTACCATATTGCGAATTGCATTCCATACATCTTATCTATCGGAGTTTATTTATTTATTGTTTACTTATTATATTTTAAGTTAACGTCTCCTCCTTGCTACGACAAATTACGCGGACTTTGTTTACGGAGTATTCTTGGCCATATCATGGTAAATGGCCTATGTGACAATCGCCTATGGCCAGTGTCTAAATCGACTCTTACTCGCGAAATATCCGATCTCATCCGGCTTCGAACTGGCTTGATTGAGCAATGTGTGTCAATAGATTTTACACTCTTGCCATGGAAAAATAATACGACACACTTTCCGTATGGTCACCCGTTCATCCACTCGCATTGTCTAACGTCGCTTAACTTCGGTGATCTATCGGAAATCTTTGCCTTAATATGTTATAATTAAGGGTTTTATTTCATTCGGTAATTGGTTTATTTTTTACTAACTGATTAAACTTTCGTACCGCGGATCAGTGAAGTGAGGGTTCATTGGTCAATCTTGTGGTACAGATAATTGATTGACCTTTCGATTGACCCAGAGACAAAAAATTAAAATAAGATGGAATTAAAATAAAATTGACCGAATGATCTCTCATCATTAGTTTTCCATATTTATGCTTACAGTTCAATTCATGTATTTTCAATACCGGATGCATCTCAAAACTGGCTCACCACTATAACTTTTTTATTTTTTCAGATAAAAAATCGACATTTGGTATGTTAGTATATGACATAAATTAGGACTGATTGACGTATTCATTTTTTTTTTGGTCATATCCTGTTTTACCGAAAATGACTACAACTTTTGATTTTTAAAGGGCACACTCTCGGTATATTTTTACTTTATTTGATGGAAAATGACATTTTGAATAGAATGGCATATCATATGTCAATTTTTTTCTTTTTTTGTTTAAAAACCGTATTTTAAATTTCAAACTAGAGTGCCATGGCTGTGATAAAAACATTAACTTTTCATCAAGGAGCCTTGGGGAAGGTTTGATCGTCTAATGATTGTCTTTTGCCTTGAGCGATTAAAAGAAAATTGTACTTTTAATCATATCTCAATTTTTTAAATGGAACAAATGTGGCTCATTAGCATATTTGGAAAAAGCATTTTTATACGAATAATTTCGTACCACACTCTTGGTATTTCGAGTCAAATTGCCGTTCTGAAACGCAAGTTACAATTTCAAATAAACGATATGCAAAAATGGTAAAAGTTGACATATGATATATATGTTATTCTATTTAGCGTGTCATTTTCTATCGAATAAAATAAAAGAAATGCCAGTAAAGCAAAAAAAAAGAAAAAATACCGAGGGTATCATTTAAAAATCAAAATTTGTAATCATTTCCGGTGAAACAGGAAGTGACCAAAAACAATTGAATACGTCAATCAATCCTAATTTATGTCATATATCAACATACCAAATGTCGTTTTTATCTATATTATATATAGGGGTGAGCTACTTTTGAAACGCACCCGGTATATCTCATAAAACACGATTTGCTCTAACTGCTCCTCGTAATAAATGCACAATTGGGTTTAATACCTTCTCAAGGTAAACTCGTCCTGCCATGGTTCCGTCAATAACAACTAATGGAGTTCGAGCACCTCTCATTATCCCCAGCCCAAAACATTACATTACCCCCTTGAAATGAGACGCTGAGCTGAGGTGTAGCTAATCTGGCTTGTCCTGGAGCTCCCCAAGCATGGATTCGTAGAAAATCCACTACTAGTCTTACTCGTGTTTCATCTGAAAACATGACATTTTACCCAGTTTTGATTTTGTTTAACCATTTTCTATGCCCATTGTTACCATGTACGTTTTTGCTGTTCTGTTAGTTTTGCAACTCGCAAGGTCTTCGACGATGTAGATTAATAGACCTTAATCGACGTGATACTGTTTGTCTTAATACAATACAATAAGTCTCTCAAGCCTTGCAAGCTCTCTACATAAATCGCTCGTTGTACTTAATGGTGAGCAATTATTAATAACTGACGATCTTGTGCTGCAGTAGTAAACTTTTTCCAGCCTTTTCCTGGTCGGCACTGAACATCATTGGTTTCTGGAAACTTTTTAATAATTTTTGAAATATCACTTTTATTAAGGCCTACAATTTCTGCCACTTTATTTTGTGATAGACCTTGTTGTAACAAAGTTACTATTCGGCCTCTGTTAAAGTAGAAAATAACAATTTTTACCAATTTTCAAGATAATAGAGTAATCAGAAATGCAGAAGAGCTAAAATACTACTAATCAGCACGGCAGGAATTTATAAATTCTAATAAAACATAAATAAACATTTTTTACTTTATTTTTCGTAAAGTTTGTGCAAAACATGTAAACAATACCTATACACTGAATATTTAATTCTAAAAATACAAAGATGCTCTATTTAACAATATGAAATAATTTTGACATATTTGTAGATATAGTTACGGCTAACGGCCATTCTTAAAAACAAAAAATAATTTTACTAAAACATTTCTGCTTTTCTTTATTCGTAGCAGCTGAAGCTGAGTACAGACAACCAGAGTACTACCCAGTTGAACCAAGACAGTTCAAAAACTCGACTGGTTTGAAGGTAGTAGATGGTAGCGATGCTGTCAGAAATCAATTCCCTTACCAAATTTCTCTTAGAAGACTGCTCCTGATCAGTTATTTCCACATTTGTGGTGGTTCCATCATCAGCCCAAGGTAGACAAAAATGTTTAGTTTTCCCTTTTTTAATATTTTAAAATATGTGTACAAAAATTAAGTTTTAAAACTTAAATTACCAAATAATATAAATAGCAGTATATACAGGGTGAGTCTTAAATAAGTACAAATATTTTCAGGGCTTGTAGATCTCTATAAAATAAACATATTTTCTCTTTACCGTCTTCAAATAATTCAAAATAACCGAGTTATTTTACTTTGAAAGTTAAAAAAATATTTTTTTGGCTAAGTTTGGAGAACCACTGGATGTTTCTTGGGTTTTCTTTCTTGTAAATTTAATCTTCTACCTATGTTGCTAATATAAGAAATTATGCAACAAAAAAAATCGTGGGTGTTTGGGAAGGCTTGAAAGGAAACAATGTTTTTGCGACGTTTCGCGACTTTATTGTCGCTTCTTCAAGCACCAATACATATCCATATTATGCCATATTATGCATATTATATATTAATATTAATCTATATTATGCCGACAAACATTCATGGCGATTCCAACCGCCAACACTAAGACACATACAGACGAATCGAACAGAAATTTATATCGTATGACTTTATGTCGTACTGTCATACTGTAATACCGTACTGTAGTACGACATAAACCGAGCATCGGTGTATATCGGGCCAAAAAATACCCGTTAAGTTTCTGTTCGATTCATCTGTATGTGTCTTAGTGTTGGCGGTTGGAATCGCCATGATTGTTTGTAGGCATAATATGGATTAATATATGTTTTGGTGCCTGAAGAAGCGACAATAAAGTCGCAAAACGTCGCAGAAACATTGTTTCCTTTCAAGCTTTGCCAAACACCCACGATTTTTTTTTCTGCGTACTAACTACTGGGAACTAACAATAATTATAAGAAATTATGTTTTTTAACCAAAAATTTAAAAAAATCCAATTTTTTTTTCGAAAAAATCAAAATTTATTTTCAAACAAATCCAAAATGTTATTCTTTTAAAAAAACTCAGATTTTTTCAGACGTGTTTCTGTGGACGAAATATACTACCTCTAAAGATATTTGCACTTATTTAAGACTTACCTTGTATAATCTATTAGCTAGATTAGTATAATAGTATAATCTAATACCTAAATTTTTACTTTATTGATGGTGAGTCAATCACATAGTGAACTTTAGATATTATTTTTTTGGTTTATGAATTACGAATGAATGTTGAATAAAAGTGTTATAGGAAATTTTAAAATATACAATTCAAAATAATTTTTTACTATACAGTTAGCTTCAAAACATTGTGTTGAATCTAACTTATAGTTTTTAACTGAAATACCTTAACAATACTTAACAAACTTCAATCGTTGTTAACTCACCCGATGGGAGGTAATTATCTAGACCTAACAAGAGTGCATATTGTCATAACCAGATATGCCAACGGGACAATGATTCGTTACAATTGACGGAAACAGTACTGGGATTGTCAGCTCAGGGGCCAGGAACTTGGAACACCCTCAAAAGCAAAAATTAGGCTCCTCCAACTCCCAGTAGATGACATACCAAGAATCTACAACTTTGACAAATACCTCACTGTAGTATTAAGCAATAATAAGGATTTGAAGAAACGTTTGCTCAACAGTTAAAAGACTACTCCATAACGTGGTATACTGATGCTTCAAAACCAAAGCAGGAACAGGGAAAAGAGTATTTGGGCCGAAAACTAATTACTCCGAACCAGTGGTGTGGCATCTACCACAGTGTCCTTAAGGCAGAAATCTACACTATCGAAAGATGCGACCTTATCTTAGATGGGAACTATCGGAAACAAGAAATATAAATCTCTTATCCGATAGTCAAGCAGAATTAAAAACAATTAACTCAGTAACCATCAATTTAAAGTTGGTCAAAGAAAGCCTAGAGAAGCTAAAGTTTTCCTACATAGAGTGTCAGCCCACCAAGCGATATAAGGCAATGAAAAACAAACGATCTAGCTTATAGAAAAGAGGCGAACAGTCCATTAACTGGGTCAAAACGGTTCTGCCTCCCAAGTGGAAACCAACTAAAAGTAGAACAGAAGAATCTGGAAGACTATATCTGTAACCTGGAATGGGATCCTCCAATGATCTAAGACACTCGAAGGAATTTCTCAGAACTTACGACAGAGAAAATCAAAGATTTTCCTAGATTTAAGTCAGAGCAATGTTCGAATTGTCATATGATTTTTAACAAGACATTGTCTCCTCAACGAACACCTCAGTAGATTGAAACTAAGAAACAACGGTGTATGCAGATTCTGTGAGGAAAATGAGGAAACACCAGAACACCACATTAACACCACATTAACCACCTAACCTAATTGAATGCACCGAAACCAACAACCATTTGTGCGATGGACTTTGGTACGACTGATATCGGAGATGGAGAACTAACCTCCGTAAAACCGTCTCAGATATTGGATTTTGTCAAAGCCCTAAGAGTGTATGATGTTATACTTAAGAGAAGGAGACACACAATAGATTTGTAAGGTTGCGGTGATTTGGGAGGGTGTTAATTCTACATTCTACATTCTATATCACTCGGTGCCGATAAGTATTTTTAAGCTTACTTATTATGTCGCTAAGACTCTCGATTATATAATTAATAAATTTTTGATTATTAATTAAAGCGGATCACAGTTAATTGAATTAAATTTTATTTATTTCAGATGGGTTTTGACAGCTGCCCACTGTACTTTCGGTACAGCTACTAGTAGTTTCCGCATCGTTGCAGGTATCCTGAACCAAGGTGACTCCGGAATCGCCAATCAACAATCTGTTGCTGCTTCTCAAGTCATTAACCACGAGTCATATCCAGGGTATGAAAATATATTTTTATTAACAACAAATAAAAGACGAATATGTTCAGTACATGAGAAAATATAGGGTGATTCATGGCGATGGCACGCTAGACGTTTAAAGAGAACAAGTGATGATTTTTTACATAAAGGCATGGCATACACCTGGTCCATCTTTTTAAAATATTTTTAGCATTGCAGTGTTGTTATCTTTTTTACAATGTCACCTTTTTACTACTATCTCTCAACGGGGTTTTCCTAAGAAGCCATAAATACCATAAGTTCGAAAAAAAAACGGCGTCATGTTAGCTTTAAGAAGGTACTTATTTTTATATTGAGTAACAATTATTTTTAAATGGTGTAGTTTAAAATTCGAGAAAAAAAATATAAAAAATATTTTTTTAGGTAATGCATTTACATGTCTGTAAACATTCTATAATTTTTTGATCTTTATATAATTAATATTAATTTTCGTCAAGTTTTAGGACAATTTTTAGTAAATGACGTCTATAAATTGACCTCGCCAAAATTATCGTCGATTGTCATTCCCAAGCCATCTCTGACGTCTAATCTAAATAAATAATAACCAAAAACTACATCAATAATTGTTATGTAGATGCTATTAATTTCCACATCAAAATATTAGCAATTCTCAGAACGCATAGAGAAAATATCTGAATAAACATTACTTTCCGTTACTCTTATTCTATTATAGTTACTAAACTATACATGGTGCGTCTCAAAAATGGCTCACCTCTAGAACTTTTGGATTTTTTCAGATAGAAAAACCCTGATATTTGACATATTAGTATATGACATAAATTAGGATTGATTGACGTATTCAATTGTTTTTGAGTACTTCTTGTTTCACCGAAAATTACTACAACTTTTGATTTTTTAATAGCATCCTTGTATATTTCTAAATGACTGAATAGAATGGCATATTATATGTCAACTTTTGACATTTTCGATTATGGTTTATTTAAAATTGAAATATAGGTTCATAATGACAATTTGACTCTAAATACCAGGCGTGTGGTACCAAATTATTCGTAAAAAATGCCTTTTCCAAATATGCTACTGAGCCACCTTTGTTCCATTTGAAAAAAAATTGAGACATAATTAAAAATACGATTTGACAAGACGAGAACAATTTTACTAAAAATTGTTCCACAAAATAAGAAATATATTTTTAGTAATCACCACTGCGTTGATCCAACAGAGACCAATTTCTATTGTAGTTTTCTAGATATTTCTGATGCTACATTATCTAGTGATATCTGGTATGTTATTATAAATAAAATGGAATTTATATTTCAGTGGTAACCAAGTATCTGCTAATGACATCTCCCTCATCCAATTAGCAACTAGCCTCACCTACGGCATCAACGTACAACCCATCCCTCTTGCACCAGCTGGATCTTCAGCTCAAGGCTCTGCCGTACTTTCAGGATGGGGTTCTCTAGGACCACCAAGCAACCAATCACCTGAAACTCTTCAGTTCGTATATCTTCCCATTTTGTCTGGAAATGGTAAGTAGATATCAAAATAATTTAATTCTAGTAAAAAACGACCATTGGTCAACGAATAATTATACCAGGTGACCTAGTGATAGATTCAATCATATTTGTAGAATAGGGTAGTCTAAAGTAGAAAGAAAAAATCAGTCGCCGGTGGAGTTTAAAAATATTTCTACTAACATTTATGTAGGACTGGGGTAGTTTTCACCCCTCCCGTACTTTACTTGATTTTCAGAGTCATTAAACCCCTTAGCAAAACATAGGCACCCCAAATCTCATTGAAATCAGAATAACGGTTCTTAAAATAACTTAAAAAACGTGTTTATTTTCTTTAAATTTGAGGCCTCCTAATGCACAAATGAAGCATTTTTGTAGAGACAATTTGTATCTACTGAGCTTATTTTTATTCCAAAAATACGTAGTAGTTTGGAATATGTAGTCCGCCGAATATTCGGACACCCTGTCTAACGAGGATATTAGGACACACTGTCCAGGAGTAGGACTAGAAATAGGAAGGGTACCCTTAGGAATCTAAGGCCTACTGGTTCGTCAGAGGCACGATTAGGATAAGATTAGTCTATAGAATACGGCTGCATTTCTTCGGGATGTCCTTTTCATCCTGACCCTAGTCTGTAAAGCCGGAAAAGTGTAGAGATACAGGACCCATCTTACGTTGTTGCTGCTTAAAAGAAGTTTGTACAAAGAAATTATCAATCAGATAAGTTTAGTTTTATGTTCTAATTTACCAACAAATATTTTATAGTTTCAGCACAGATAACATATTATCTGTGGTTTGAGTCTTAAAAACAATCTCGTACTGACTTTCCCCCCGTATAGTGGTTATTTTATTATGTCATTTTAATATTTAAAATTATAATCTAGATTTTAATTTTCATTACGCACATTACCCTCTGTAATGGTTTTACTGTAAAAATATATACCGTGTGTTCTTTGATTAAATCCAGTGCGCTTTAACATGGATTCTAAAATTTATTTCTTGTGATGTCTTTGATTTAACATCGTATTAAAAATGAACATCTAAATAAACTAATACTACCCTCTTCTAAGTTTATTACAATTAACTATATTATATTTTAGAGAAAAGGATTAAGGATTAGAGAATCCATTTCATTTAACGTAATAATAATTTTAACATAATCTTCTCTGACATATTACCACTATAATTATCAAAATTTTACCATATTAATTATCATTATTACAGTTCATCTTGATTAAATATAGTCATTAATTTTAAACAACTGCTACAATTTTTTTTCTCTAGCGTACAATATTTTATTTTAATATAGTCAAATAGTCTTTCTCTAGTGAAATACAATCGAACCTATGACTGCTCTGTTAATGAAAAGCTGCAGTATGAAGTGGTAACAATTTAACTAAATCTGCTATAGTATTTCCGAAGTCAATTGAAAGTACTGAGTCTCTTAATTCCTTTGCCCCGACGATGCCGACAAAGAGAGTGCCGAAATTTAGAAATTGTCAAAAAAAAATCATTCTATTCGAACTGACTTCAGATAAACTATACACACATATTTTGGCGCCCCACGTTGGGTTAGGTTAGGTTAGGTTAGCCCACGTTGGGCGCCAAAATAAGTGTGTAGCAAGATAAGTTAATAACAAATTATTATGAAGAAAAACTAAATTGCATACTGCATACAGCAGCTTTTCGCCAATAAAGTAGTCATGGGTTCGATTGTATTTTACTAGAGGAAGACTAATTAACTATACCAAAATAAAATATTGGACGCCAGACATATACAGATAAAAAAACACAGTAGTAGTTGCTTAACATTAATGACTACCTATATTTTAATAAGGGTGAACCATAATGATAGTAATTAACATTTTGAAATTTTGATAATTATAGTAGCAATATATGTCAGAGAAGAATATGTTAAAATGATTATTACGTTAAATGAAAAGGATTAGAGAAAAATATATATATAATTTGGTTTAAGCTATTGAAAATAAAAATACGGTAGCATTAGTTTATTTAGATTTTCATTCTTATACGATGTTAAATTTAAGATATCAAGAGAAATAAATTCTAGAATCTATGTCGAGGTGCACTGAATTTAGTCAAAGAACATGCGGTATATATTGTTAAAGTAATACCATTATAATAGAGGGTAATGTGCGTAATGAAAATTAAAATCTAGATCATACTATTAAATACTAAACTGACATATTATACTTGATCACAATAGGTAAAATCAGTACAAGATTGTTTTAAGACTGAATCTATAAAATATAGATTTTTCTGATCGATAACCTCGTGCAAACTTGTCCTACGCAGCGACAGCGTGAGATGGGGCCTGTATCTCTATACCTGTCCAGCTTCACCGTTGGCCAAGACATTGCTTTCGAACAAATACAGCCATAAATACAGCCATAAACTACAGACTATCTTAAACCTCAGCCTCTGTGGAACCAGTAACTCTTACATTCCTAAGGGAAAGTATCATTTCTATCCTAAGAATGAGGCTAGGAGTAAGACAAGGAATAGAACTAGGGATAGGACCCTAAAAACATGAAATCGGCATTCTTGCTCAAAAGAAAACGGTCCACAAACTCATCTCGAGACATCTCGAGGATCTGCAGAATAAATAAACATGCCCTTTCTTCTATTAAGCAATTTGGAGGCTGAAGAAAAGACAACGCGCCAGCAAAGTACCAAGTATGGGTAATTCAGGTTAATTTAAGCCAATCAAAAATTCTACTTTAAAAATACACAGTAACAAAAGTGAATCTACGAAAGATAATATCACATCTTTACCTCTTGCGTTGAAATTTCAGCTGATTCAGATTCTCCAGAAAGAATTAAACAATAGGCATGTTTCATGTTTTTCAATTTCCATGTAATTATGCAGATTTCACCCTAATTAGTGCTTGCTACTTAGCCTTTTTTATATAAAACTTAATATTAGGCCAAAAAATGAGGTAAAAGTTTGAATTTCACACTTACGCGCGCTGCGATACGTAGCCCTCGCCAATATAATTGGCTGGTTTTCGTCTCGAAATAAACTTGGTGAATTTTATAATGTTGACAGCATTGCTGTTTATTCAGTGTCAAATGAATGTTAAAAAATTAATTGTTCTATTGTTGGATAACATTTACCAGTAACTGTAATAAAATGTTTTTGTACGCGCCGAGAAAGATGGAAAATCGTAAATGCTGTTTTTTCAAAAAACTTCTCTTAGGCTATGATTGTGATTTCAAAGCGTTTCAAAGTGAGTTTATATTATGTTTGATTTGTTAAATCATTAATGGTCTGTTTTTTACATGTGGAAGAAGGTGGGAAAAATTAATTTGAAAAAAATGTAATTCCTGATAACTAAGATTAATAGTATTCCGGAAAATCACAGTATTCACAGTTATGGTATAAAACAGGTACCTAAGCTACAATCTAACCATGAAAAGTATGTCTACTATCTGACCAAGAAAAGTTAGGAATATAAGGCAATTAGAAAAATTCTATTGGCACCAAGAATGTTAATAAATACGTTCATGGTTAAGTTATTTCAGAAGACTATTAATAAAATACATTGTATAGATAAAATAAGGCTCTAATGCAGTGCCTTTTTACATAAAATCAAGTACTAATGGCCTAATATTTTAAAGTTTTGTTATTAAGAGTATTAATATGTGACCAGGAATGCGTATTATATAATGCATAAAATATTATTTTTTGTTATATATATCAGGAAGATTCGAAGGAAACATACATTGTGTATTACATATACATATAAATTTATTAAATTAAAAGACAAGTAAATATAAAGTGTTTTAATTACAATATTGTAATGATTTATATTTTGATGGTGATGAGACTTACTGAATATCATGGGAGTCAATTTACAATTAACCCGCTACAAGAATATAAAATAAATATTATGAGAAGACAAGAATGGCAATAAAAGTTGCTAGAAAGTAAGATGTTATCTTCCTTCATTCTACATAAATCATAGCATGGTACCTTTCTTGATTTTATTTGTTATGTATGACATAATGTTTATCTGCCGCCTAAAATTAAAATAGAAAGAGATAAATAAAAACCTACACACATATTTAGTTATAATTTAAAAATCACCAGTGATAGCTGCACAGCTTAAAAAATTAGTTCTCACCACTTTCTGTACACTTTTATCATTGCAGGTGTACTTTTTATTTGATTGTACAGAAGTAGCCCTCTTTTTATTGAACGTATCCTATCGAACTGTTATATTTCACTCTGTGCTCTGTAAATAATGGTTTTATTACTTTTAAATAACTTCTTTAAGACAAAAAATGTCACCTTCATATTTTAACTTCTTTATTTCAGCACTTAAGTATTTTAAATTGTCTATATAAAAACTGTCCACCAACCGTCACCATTCGAAAATTAACCGATAAAGTTTTTTCATAGTTTTGAGCCCATTTAGATAAAATTAAAACTTATAACCAAGAAAATTTACCGCTGAACTGAAAAACACGAAGAAAAATCAACAAAATCCAAAACGGCTGCGCCCGATCCGCATGAGCCAGGCAATCCGTCATACCAACTTATGATATAAAACTTCCCTTTCTACGATCTGAAACGTGATTGGTGAAGGCTTTGTATGTCACAACTAAACCGGGAATGTTCAAGTTTGAAACTAAAATTTAATTTCTAAAAAGATATCATGGATTTTTTCCTAATTTCCTATGTATTGTAAGTAATAAAGACTTAATCTATGCAATACAATGATTTATTTGCGAATTTATATTTTTTGGAACATGCCTATTCAAAATTTCTAAAAGCTCAGAGCTGGTGACAGCGAAAAGTGAGGTTACCACCAATGACTAAAGAATACAAGGACAAATAGCACCTGAGACGAAACTGTGACCATCCTTCCAAACAGTGTCGTGGCACATACTTTTCTTATCATAGGCGCTTGAAACGATATTTTTATTTTTGATAAATATTTTCACTACGCCTATGGTGTATCCGGTGGTATCATACTAATTAATTACGAAAAAACGTATTAAAATGTTAACAAAACGTACAATACTAGTATCGACATATAACAACACATATCAAGTACATATAATATCAGATTCAATAGAAATAAAATAATTATCAAATTCAATAAAAAAAAAAACGCTAAAAATGTGTAGTGGACTGTTTATTTCCCTATAAAACGTAACTCCTGGTTCTTTCTTATCATTGCGCCTTTTACACTTGAAAGCTGAATAAATTACCATTGTAATAAAGTTTACAAAGTTCACTATACACAACCAACTATTAAAAATCGCTGAAATTGTCGCTGATGACCAGATGATGACTCATTCGTTACGTCCAAAAAAATGGCGTCACAAATTCTGCTGCAGCCTGTATATGGGCGTTACATGTCCTTGTATTCTTTAGTCATTAGCCACCACAGCAGCTGGGAAACGATAACAGTGTTGCCAACTAGAGAAAGTAAAACTGCGCAAAGTTTTTCAAACTACCAGGGTTGGATCAGAAATACGGAATCTTGGTTGCAATCTGAAAAGAAATATGTAACAAATTAAAAGCGTTACATGTTTATAAGAGCTTTTTGTTTTATTTTTATCTGTAGAATTAGCTACCAAAGTTAGATACTTACACTATTTTTTTGACACCCTGCAAAAATAAAATTCCGTTTTTTTTCAGATTGCGCCAATCTCATTGCCTCCATCTCAGGATCCAACAATCCCTTCAGAGCTGCTCTTAACGTATGTACCGTACCAACATCCAACCAGAGTGGAGAGGGTGCTTGCAGCGGTGACAGTGGTGGCCCATTGGTCAACAACGGTAATCTAATTGGTGTTGTATCTTGGGGTTACAATCCATGCGGCGGCAACGGTTTACCATCCGTTTACGTAAAGGTATCCGCTTACACCAACTGGATCAGACAAAACACAAACGGCGAAGTTAATCTTTAATTATTTAAAGATGGAAATGTAAAATGGAATAATGTAAATGTTGTCACTATTGAATGAAATAAATGTTTTTATGATATTTTCCTTCTTTTATACAAGTCATAATTTTTCTATATCTGATACGCATATTATTTTAATTCTTTATACAATATTGTGAAATCAAAATGGGATAGGATATTACGCCTAAACGGTTAGAAATCGTGAAAAATAATAATAATTCTTGATTAAAATATATAGATACAGCGTGTTTTAAACATATAGCCGGTATACACCATCACCACAATCACAATGTAACTGATTCTACAAGGTGATTCACGGCCATGGCAGGTTAGACGTTTATGGCGAACCGGTGATAGGATTTTTTTGAAAATTTGGATTTTTGCATAAAGGGACTTGCTCCATCTGTCTAAATTATTTTCAGCATTACAGAGTTGCCGCTTCATACTAAAAGTGGTAACATCTTTGTTATTTTAAATGGAACACCCGGTATAATATTCCATTTTTAAAAACTACGTTGATATCTCAAAATTTTTATATAATACTAACCTATACCTATCTTTGATAGTTTCCGAGATAAAAAATAAAACGTGTAAAAGTGACAAAAACATGATCTTGAATAAGCATTGGTTAAATCATAAATTCCGCATATTGAAAGCTAAAATTTGGTTTGCAGGTAAAGGAAAGTCGGCATATCCAATCTATCTAAATCAACTGATTGGATATCAAACAGGGAGGCCAGAAAAAATAATTATTTCCGTTTGTTATAAAATTACTGAAATCTTTGATATTTTAAATTCAGCTGTATGAATATTATTTAAAAAATCAAAACCCAAGTAAAATTGCTTTTCCACGATATCATGTTCCTATACCTAAACATTCTGGTTTCTTCAGTAAAACCATTTAAAACGTAATAATTCTATCGTAATTGTTTCGTTTAAAGAAAATCGTTGCCATGATAAATAGTCAAACTTTATCAGTATCAATTAGAGTTTACGTGCTAAATTTCTAAAAATCTCATGGTGACGAAATTCTTGAAATGAAACTATAATAATAGAATTATTAATTTTCAAATAGCTCTACTTAAGAAACAGGAAGATTTAGGTAGAGGAACATGATATATCGCTGAAAAGCAATTTTATTAGTCCTTTGATTTTTTGAATAGTATTCATAGGGTTGAATTTAAAATAAAAAATATTTTAGTAATTTTATAACAAACGGAAATAAATAATATTTTTGCTCCCTCTGTGTAATATCCAATTGGTTTATTTAAATAGATCTAATAATACGAATCAACGAAATCTACTTTCTTTAACTTATAACCCAAATGTCAACTTTAAAAATGTTTAATTCACGATTTTACCAATGCTTATTCACGATCATGTTTTTGTGAATTTTACATATGTTTTATTTTTTATCTCAAATACTATCAGAGATACGTATAGGTTAGTATAATAGAAAAATTGTGATGTATGAAAGTAGTTTCCAAAAATGTAATAATATACTAGGTGTTCCATTTAAAATAAGAAAGATGCTACCACTTCTCGAATGATGCGACAACACTGTAATGCTAAAAATATTTTAGAAAGATGGAGCAGGTGCCTTTAGGTAAAAATGCAAATTTTCAAAAAAATTATATCACCGACATAAACGCCGTAAATCACCCTATATACCGGGTGCGTCTCAAAAGTTCAGCTCACCCCTATAAATTTTTTATTTTTTTAGACAAAAAAACGAGATTTGGTATGTTAGTATATGACATAAATTAGGATTGATTGACGTATTCAATTGTTTTTGGTCACTTCCTTTTTCACCGGAAATGACTACAACTTTTGATTTTTAAATAGCACCCTCGGTATTTTTTTTACTTTGTTCGATAAAAAATGACATTCTAAATAGAATGACATAACACATGTCAACTTTTGACATTCCCGCTTAATAAAAAATTGTATTTTAAAATGTAATCTAGAGTGCCATGGCTATGTTAAAAACATTAATTCTTAATAAAGGAGCCTTGGAAAAATATATTTGATCGTCTAATGATTTTAGTGTTTATTTTTGTATTTGTATTTGATACCACACACTTGATATTTTGAGTCATATTTTCATTACGAACCGCAAGTTATAATTTCAAATAAACCATATGCGAAAATGTCAAAAGTTGACATATGATATGTCATTCTATTCAGAGTGTTATTTTCTATCAAATAAAAAACAATACCGAGGGTACCATTTAAAAATCAAAAGTTGTAGTAATTTCCGGTGAAACAGGAAATGACCGAATACAATTGAATAGGTCAATCAATCCTAATTTATGTCATATACTAACATACCAAATCTCATTTTTTTAACTGAAAAAATAAAAAAGTTATAAAGGTGAGCCACTTTTGAGACGCACCCGGTAAAAAGCACAACATGCTTACCCAACAAACGAGATATTTAAATAAAAAGACTGAGGTAGGAGTCTAATAGTATTTATATCATTTGATTCCATGCTTGAGTTGTTGCAATGGTCGTTTCAATGGATACATTTTAACTTGATTTTAAAATTTGCGGATTCATTGGGCTTTTCCGGGCTGATCTTTATTTTAAGTATAATTGTTGGGGCTTTTACAAAACACAGTATCAGAGACGGTTTTACAGAGGTTACTTTTCCATCCCCGACATCAGTCGTACCAAAGTTTACAGCACGAATGGTTATCATCTCTGTGCACTCAGTAATGTTGTTCCCAGGTGTTTTGGTGTTTTCCCGTTTTCACTACAGAATCTGCATTCTTAGTAGATTTCTTAGCTTCAGTTTACTGAGATGTTCATTGAGGAGACAGTGTCCTGTTAAAAACCCCGTGAAAATCCTAAGATTGTTCCTTCTTCGATCAAACAAATTTTTTTTCTCGGTCATAAGTATATACTGAGAAATCTCTTCTTGAACTGTCTTAGACCGTTGAAGGATTCCCATTGAAGGTTACGATTGGAGTACTCCAGGTTCTTGAGTTTTTCTTGAAGTTAAAGTTGAAACAAATTGCTACGGCCGGAATTCTTATATAAATTGATCTACAAAAATACATGATGTGTTTATGTATCATGTCATGTCTATTTATTGGAAGTTTGGGTTCACTGATCAAATTAGATCGTTATAATATAAGCGTATCACAAAAAATTGGACAGGTGGAAGTAATGAGTTGCCACTATTCTTTATCAATCTATAATCTTCATTTATATTAGTTTTATTTATTTTAGCCAGTCTATAAAAATTGAAAGAACAAATACCTGAAATTTTCAAAAAAAGATAAGAGACAAATACACAATGTTCATCATTTTTTTTTAAATTATTTAAAGATTCTATTAATGAATAGGTATATGGATATTACGCAGCAACATATTTTTTGAAATTAGTACTTATTAGTAAGTACTGTTTTAAGTACTTGATAAGTGTTTTGATATGAAATCCAAATCTACATGCCTTCAAAGATAATATGTCTGTATGGCAAATTAGAGAATCCCATTATTTGTTTTAATAATTACGATACCAAAAAAGAACTGCATTCCTCTAGATACACGGAGAGAACTACACAATTTTATCTTATACGGACCTGCAAGCACACAGAAAATTTGTCAGAAAATTTCGTCTTTTTTATTTAAATCATTTTAATGACTTAAGAAATTTGATTTTAAGTCATTTTTCGAAAGCTGACTTTAAGATTTAAAATTTATATAAGTAATTTTCAAAACGATTTAAATCTTTATTCCAAAATATAAAAAGAATTAATTCGTTAAAAAAACACTTAAATCTTTTGAAATACTTAAGTCTTTTAGAAAAAACTTATGCCATTAAGAAGATTTAAGTCGTTTTTAACAGATATTTATACACTGTGTCAATTTCAAAACTTCCCACCCTTAATATCTTTTTTGCAGTTAAAAATATGAAAAATCGGAATGACACGTCAATTTTATTTGTTTGGTTTGGTTTGGTTGTGAAAGAAAAAGTCTAAAAATATTTATTTAAAGTGTCCCCCTTACACTTTAAATAAATATTTTTAGCCTTTTTCTTTCAACCCCCTAGGAGATTCAGCTTTACAATCTTAAATGGGAATGGGGGTCAAGTGAGACATCATTTTAAAGGGCGTTTCATTCTCTTTTCAGTGGTATCCTACTGTGTTGCTTTTTGTCTAGAGGTTTCTAAATAATCGCGTTTCAAAGTTGCAGAAACAATTATACATGCCTGCATTGAGATTTTGGTTTTCAGGCTAGTGTTTACACAAAAATTATTGCAATGGGTCTCCTGGTAGTACAAATGATTAGAAGATTAGGGGCAACATGCACGTAACCATTACATTTTTCTAGGAGGATCGAAATACTAATAAACAGAAAACATCATAAACATTAACGTTTCTTTTCTCAAATTGGAATAAGTGGCAACTTCCAGGGGGGGGGGCATGGTCCTCCCCTTCGCTAAAACCATGGGTATACCGTTTGAAACTTTGCTTCGGATTTGGTAAAGTAACATCAAAAAATTTATATCAAAAAGTAATCTAAAAAAATTACGAGTACCTACCTAGTTAATTTGCGTTTATTCGATGTCTATTTATTGAAATTCTACAAAAAGTCTTGCTATTCTATCAACAAATTCTAAAAATACGTTGTTGTCTTAATCTGGACCAATTGAATGGCCTCCAAGATGACCGGATTTAACACCCATAGACTTCTTTCTTTGAAGACATCTTAAATCCATTGTTTATAGAACACAACCTACTGATGATCTTAAAAGGCGAATTACATTAAAGTGCCGGTTGAATCCCGGTGAAGTTTTCCGAAATGTTAGGGAGGACTTCGAAAACAGACTATTATATTGTTTACAGGAAAATGGACAACATTTTGAACAACTTATAAGATAGGGCGTAAGTGGTGTAACCTAATCTTCTAATCATTTGTACTAGAAGGAGATACATTGCAATAATATTTGCGTAAACACTAGCCTGAAAAACAAAATCTCAATGCAGGCATGT